GATATATTCTAAATTGGATTTTATAAATTGTTAAAATGATATAATTATTGGATATATTCTAAATTGGATTTTATAAATTAATAAAATGATATACAATGAGTGGATATATTCTAAATTGGATTTTATAAATTGTTAAAATGATATAATTAGTGGATATATTCTAAATTGGATTTTATAAATTAATAAAATGATATATAATGAGTGGATATATTCTAAATTGGATTTTATAAATTGTTAAAATGATATAATTAGTGGATATATTCTAAATTGGATTTTATAAATTAATAAAATGATATACAATGAGTGGATATATTCTAAATTAGATTTCATAAATTGTTAAAATGATATAATGAGTGGATATATTCTAAATTGGATTTTTTTTTTTTATTTATTTTGACATTTTAAAAAGCTCAACATGAAGTAAAATCCCATACCTGCAATATTTCGACTCATATTCAGCTTCAATTTGGGCAATATTCAACCTTCCATCCTATCAAATATTAAAATAATTTTTGTTCAATTCACCTTATATTGATACCTTTTTTAACTATGTAAACTTAAATTTATATTATTTTCTTAAGGGGGGGGAAGGGGCACGATGTTGCCAAAGGCGGGGCACAAAATCAGGCAATCCCTCTTAATACTGTGGTGTAAGCTTCAATGGATGAAAAATATAGATGGAAATGTTTCTAAAAAAATATCTACATTTTCATAGGATTGATGCATATTGTAAAATTATGATATCAAATATATTTTTACACTGAAGTCAGTATTGATTAAAGCTTTGTTTAATGAAACTTTTTTAGTTAAGGGCAAAAGTGAGATTTTAAAGTATTTTTTTCTATAAATGGAATACATGCAATTTCAAGTAACCCTCCATTCATAGAGTGGCATGCTTGATGTACCTTTGAACCCTTCATTTCTCCATCGTTTCTGAAGCAAGAAATGTGCGAGTCACTTTTGTAGAGAAACCACAAATAAAAATATTCAGTTTTCAAAATGGGAAACATGGATTTTTAATGCAATACTTAATACAAAGCTTTGAAGGTTATTAATGTGAATCAGAATTTTTTTAAAAATTCTTTTCTTAATTATTTAGTTTGGGTGAGTGCAAAGCAATGCAATGTAGAATTAGATTGCCCGAGGAAAATGTAATATTAAAATACCCCCCCCCCTCGTACGCCCCTGACATGGACGAGGTGATGTTGAACATCTTTTTAAAGGTCATTCATATATAAAGTTCATAACTTTAAGGTATTGAAGAGATTAACAGTGGAAATATTGTCATATTATGCGATTTTAATTGTTTAAAAGTCATTTTATAATTGTCAGGTTAAGTGGATCAAACTGTATTATTTCCTGCTAATCTGAAGAAGATTCCTTTCAACAATATTCATTATTTCCTACCACAACCCTCTAAAGCAACGAAAATTATTCAACCATTAAGGGTTTCCTAAACACAAAAACAAGGAAAACTAGGAAAATTAAGGGTAGGACCAATTCAACATATGTAAGATATGTTTCGCAAGATATTTCAGTTGTCGGATTGAGTCAATAAAGATTAATGTCAATTTAACATACCTCTGTCCTCCACATTACCAAAATATTGGCAAAATAATAAAATGAACAAAGAACCTGTAGTAAAACTTCTATGTTCTTTATGACGCAATGTTGATGATTCCGTCTGAGCTTGTTTTCCTTTCATTCAGAATCAATTTATATATTCCTTTAATTTAATTCCAAGCTTAAATGTTGGTAACTTCAGTTTAACAAGTTTGCTGTAGTACTTGACTCCCAAATTATCTCAATATTAACTGTGCGGAAATTTTCAGGCCAAAAAAAAAACTTTACTAAACCGCTTAGATATCTCAAATCATCAAATAACGTAATAACAAAAGAAATAGCTTTGTAAACAATTACAGTCGACCGTAACTAAAATTATTGATCTTGATCCCTTGAATTCCAGTTTATCAAGTAGTCTATCTTGATATTGGGATATATCCACCTTCATTCTACTCCTAAAGTATGTACACAATTTTAGAATGTATCTAACAATATCTTAAATTAATTAGTTTATTTAGTTTCTTTTGGATTTTTTCCCCCACAATTTATGCCTATTCAAATAAAAATATTTATGCAAAATTCATATCTCGGTATTTTCCAACCATATGTTGAATTACAAGAGCCGGGAACTTTTGTGTGAATATCGAGATCAATGCTGGATCGCAATCTTCTCTCAATCAATAAATATTATGAGTATCCAACACAAAAGTTCTTGGCTCAATAAAAAGAAATCAGTGTTGTTAAGATAGGCTTTATTGGGACGCCAAAGGTCAGAGTTAGCCAGTACCTATAATTAGTACGTATGGCAAGGAAAACAAGTAGTTTAACTAGTCCTACAAAGTTAAACTACTACTTGCTTTTCATTAATTCTGACTTGAAAACTATAAATTCTGAGTAAAAGCTAAATATGACGTGGAAAATGAGAGACAAATAAAAGTCAATTCATGTTGAATTGCAGGAGAAGAAAGTTCCAACACATGATATTGTATTCTGATATTTCAAAATATAACGTAAAACATTGAAAACTTCTAATATTAATACTGTATTGTTCTTACAATTAAATTGAACAGAGAAATACGGGAAATTTTTATTTAAGATTAAGGAAACTTAAAATCATCTTTCTTTTCAGTATTTTAAAATATTATGTGGAGTGTGGACACAACTTTAGAATAATTTAGACGATACAAATATTTTCAGTGATTCATGCTTTTCTGTGAATCAAGAAATTAAGTGCGTTCAGTTTCAAATTAGGATTGATACGGAAGTGTGTTAATGTTTAAAAACGCGACCAAAACGTGAATTCGTGACATGTGCTAAACTTGAAAAACTTGCATTGCTCTGAAAATGGTACGGGTAAACGTACGACAGCTTAATGTCAGTTTTAATTTTATAAAAGAAGTAAATTGGGTTATTTGTAGAGATTGTCATGCTTAAAAATATGTTGGAATTAGTTTCTTTAATAGATGTTTTCCCTCGACACAGGAACAGTTGCTAAAACCTTGATCATAAGACTCAGTGTCAGGTTAGGAACATAACATGGTTTGGAACTTTCTTCCCCTGAATTGAAAAGGTGAATAGGGGGAACCATACTTTAAAACATTTTATCTTACATTTAACATGGGGATTGAAGGTCGACTATCAAATCATCTATTTTCTATGGCACAGTAACTCAAATGACCCCACGGAAGCTATGGCAAATCGAAAAAAATTGAGTGTCAAAACAAGATTTCCGTTGAAAAATAATTTGAAAATCTACCACGCACCATGAAAAAAAAAATCCAGAAAATTCTTAATAAATGTAAAATAATTATTAGCAAAACAATAGGAGTGAACTTAGGTCATGTATAAACTATTTAATTAACAGAATCCCATTGTTTGTTGGGACACCCTATACTTAAGATAAGAACAACTAGTATCAATGAACATCTTACTAATGATATTTTTCTTAATGAAATAAAACACGCAGAAAAACACAGTTAGAGAAACCAAATTATTCCTTTGACATGAAAGAAATATTGAGAACTATTATATATGTTATGGAAACCACAAATTGAAAATAAATATAACAATTAGGTTTCAGAATTACTGATAATAAAACCAACCAATTCTATTTCTGATCCCAAATAGGATCGGAAGTACACTAAGGGGCATGATAATACACTTTCTGTATCATTGTGAACTTTGACAAGTTTTGTTGTGTACGTGTAGGTGTAGGCGGTGTACTACACTTGAGAAATGTGTACTGCATTTGGGGTGTTAAAGATGTAAATGATCAATATAAGAGATAAACTCTCTCTTGCAGTACACGTTCTGCGGCATGGAATTGTCTCTATAACTTGACATCATACTTCCAATTGTTTACAACAACATGGTTAATTTCGGCCCCTAATACAAAAATCAACGTTAGGGATCGTATTGGATGGAATTATGTGGACCCCTGAAGCACAGGAGAAACTAATAAAAGAAAACATATTAATAATGAGATAATCTAAGCCTCATTAAAATCAAATGAGCTGTCAAGTACAGAATATTACAAGGAAGTTAACGGTAACAAGATTAGTTTATTATTCAGGAAAACATTTTGTTTTATTACATCAGAAAAATAACCAGTGAATATGTCTGACCAGAGAATGATACAAACAAATATAAATAAATATAATTTTAGTTTGAGAATTTGGAATTGGCAAGTATATTTGAGAATTTTAGAATATGTTTTAAACAGGGGTGTAAACATTCTTACTGAAATTCCCCTCATGGCCATCTAACCTAACCCCAGCCCTCTCCCTTTTCCTCAAAGGTTGGTTCAATAGAATCCAGGGGCGGTGGCAAGTTTTTTAAAAACCACCTGTAAGGGTCTGTATTTCAAATATTCACAGACAAAATGTAAATTTTTATTGCAATGGTAAATGATAAAAAAATTCTTCATTTTTTATGTTCCAGGAATTACAAAACAGACCTCAATTTTGAATCCCCTGATTTTAAGAATAAACAAAATTTACCTCTTGAAGATTAAATCCTGCATAGTGGAAATATCTATCCATTCCTCAGTTTGTTCAGGACACAATTCTAATATCTTCCTTCCAAGATTCTGAACCAGTCCCTACATTTTAAACAATATCAGTAAATAAAATATTACGGATTATCAGCATTTTTTACTGATCCATTTATCTATCTGAAAAAGATCTTCGCTGATTTATACATATATTTAAATATGTGTTCGAAGATGGCCATTAGCCAAACGCCTGGACCAAATTGGCTTAACAAATTTTAGGGAACCCATGGGTACCCTGGGGGTGACATAGGATAACTTTTTAATTGAAATTTTGGAGAAAAAATACGGACAACGCCGGGCACTAAACTATAAACCTGACCAACGCCGGGTTCTCCAACTAGTATTTCAATAAAAAAAATTTACTTAGATATAAAGAAAAAACAGCTTGAAACATTGAAGAAAATGTGTTCATAAAACAAATTAAGAAGACAAACTATTCATTGAAAAAAATATTTCAATAAAAAAGAAATTGTTATTTAGATTCAATAAAAAGTATGATTAATTTGATGCTGAATACTATATTCCCAAGAAAAAATCTCCTATTCATGTTCTCTCTGAAACCAATTAGCATCACATAAGAATATTTTTTCTCTTCAAATAAAAAAATAATAAACATTTAATATTAAAATCCAAGAATCCAAATGAGTCAGTTAACTATTGCGTTTAAAAGCTAATTGAATATTACAATTACATACAGAAATATTATCATTTTACGCAGAAATTATATATTTGATATTAAATCAATTATTTTAGCGTAAAATCTTTAGTCATTTTAACAGTGGCATGTCTGATACACCACAGTGCTCCTTCCAACTTTGTCTGCTGATCAAGGACAGAGATCTCTTTAATTTTTATCTGAAAACTGGAATGTACACCGGCATGGAATGTACAATGTTTCAACGTTCATTAGATCCAAATAAAAATAAAATAAAATAAACTTCTCAGGGACACCTGTAACCCCCCAAAAAAATAAGAGTCACGGGTATACGTATATTTAGTATTACCATTACATCTCCTATAAACCAAGGAACAAGATCTTTTAACTTCCGGGGAAAAAATAAACTTGCATACTTCTTTATTACTTTTAAATACTACTTTCCCTACAATTAACAAGTTATTAATCTTTCTCAAAAAATATAAACAATATAAGAAAAATATAAATTATTGGGGGAGGGCGAAGGAGGAAACTGATACACCCCGAGAGAGGGAAAATTAAAACATTTTACCTGTTCAGACATGACAAGCCTCTCTTCTCCAGCTACTGTTTCAATACAAACCCAGTCAGGCAAAAGGTCTAAATAAGGCACATCAAGGATCTTTGAAAAATAATTGTTTTCTCTGTTACTCTGAGCTTGAGTTAATTCTTGTAGAAGCTTTCTTCAATAATATCAAAAGTATCTTGAAATTTCCTTGTTCATCATTCTTTACTGGATTAAAAGAATATTTTTCGCTGGGAGATCACTATTGTGACATTGTCAGCGAGTCAATAAATCTTCTTTTTTTCTACTGTATGATAGTGCAATAAGTCTGTTTAACCAGGGATCTGGGCGCCCCTGACATCTTTCACATTGAAGAAATATGGTTATCATACATATTCTTGAAACTTATCAATGAAATGGCATTTTTATGTTTACTAGCAAACTGTTCCATCTTACAATGCTCAGAATTTTATCAAAGACGACATGCAATATATTGCAACATTTAGATTATTGCAAAAATACGTACAAAAAATGAAATAACTGAGCTCTACTGAATTTTACAGATTAAATCGCGTTTCAATAATTCATTTTCCTTGAGAATATAGCAATTATAAAAACTTTCGATTGTAACAGCGGGGAGGGAGGATATGAAAATGGGGGACAATTATTTATTTATCTTTGCATTTTTGAGACTTTTACACCCGTTTTCAGAGTAATGTTTAAAGTGTACATTTCTTATTGATGTTTCCAATATTCTTTTAAAAAACTAATTTTTCTGTGAATAAATTTTTTTTAAATATTTTTATTTTGTTTTAATGAACCCTTAACACTTAGTTTTATCATAATCTTCTTTTTTTTGGAAAACCACATTTTCCCGTTTTTCAACAATCAATCTTCTTATTTAGAATCAACAATCAACGTTGCTGATTGCCGAATCATCAAAGAAATATTTATAATGCAAAGATAGCCGTTAAAAACGCCGTTAACTTGCCTATCAACTGATTGATAGTTTCTGATTTAAACATATCAACCCTGAGCTGGTAGCCGAACACATTGAGAAAATCAGGTCGAATCTGAGCTACATCCAAAGCTAAAAAATAGTAAAGAAATTAAAGTAGAATAATTTTCCTTTCCTTACTTCTATTGGATAAGAATCTGTTCCTTAAGGTTTTTTTAATTGATATACCTCCTTCCTCGCTCTTTTCCAATAGAATATGCAGCTGCTCTCCAAGAACCTAAATTTTTATAGGGTTTTTTTTTGTTTAGATGTCTTTTTAGCCTAAAATTACAGAGGCTCAAATATGGTTGGTTCCACTTAAAATAGTAATAAATTTTTCTATTTCTAAGCCGGCGCTCAATTGAAACCGGTTTTTAAGGGAATTGTGTCGCGTCTTAAATTCATTAAATTCGGACACTGTAAGCCTTATTATTAAGATAAATCAGAATTTTAGCCATTAATCCTATTTATGTTTGACTTGAATAAATTGTTACCTTAAGCCTCTCATCCTGGGTTAATTGTACCACTTTCTCGCCATCACTGTCCTGTATCAAATAAAGACATTAACCCTATTACGACGGGGGGGGGAGGGGTGTTCTCACCTTCTCGCTACGGTTTTTCTCAAGAACTTAAAAATGGCTTATGCTAGAGCTCTGAAACTTCTTTACTTTTTCAACTTTTTCAAATGATTGAGGTCATATTTCAAAAAGCAACCAAAATATGTTAGTGGATAGGACATGGTAGAGGACGGTCATTCCAGCCCCCCCCCCCCTAAATCCATCTCCCCCTCAATCTATGTAAGACAAAAATAGCCTAAACAATAGGGTTAAAGTACAAAATTGCATCAATACATCATTTTCAAACTTTTAAAATATCCAGACAAACAGACACAGATATTGAGAGATAAGTAAATCCATTGTAAATGAAGAAAAACAAAGCTTCTTAAATGAATAAATTTTCAGATGTCAATCCTAGAAAATTCTTCTTAATTTAACTTCTCTTCCAGCAAAGGATTACTGATCTTTTATTATCTGTGATGTATACTTTTAAACAGCTCTGAAGTTTGGTAAGAAAACTAAATTTATGCTTTTTAACAAATCAATGAACATGGAACTCACAGTAATTGTGCAATGTGAAGTGTGCACAGACCACTTAAACTTTATAAGTGTGTTTTAAAACAACTGGTTAAACAATTTATTTTGTAAGAACATTTTGTTTTTTTCAAATAATTTTTCACTGGCGCTGGATTTTTGAACATTCCTGGAAAATATAAAAATGTCTTCTTCATTATCAAAAATCCTCGAAACAGGAATAAAAGTTTTCAAAAGTAACTAGCTGTCTGATCATAAGAATAAAAATAATATGAAATATCAACTATTTACGAATGCGTTGAAAAATTATCGATGATTATTGGTTGTAATATCTGAATGATTTTTTTTAAGATCCGAGTTGAATGATGCAACTTACTGAATTTGTATGGACGCTCGTTCTTCAGCAGAGTCGTTTTTAAAAATTTTCTTTTTACAGACGCAACAGATAGAAGTAAGATTAGAAGCGATCAAAAGCGCTTATTTTTCGCCGTGGGCCTATATCCCCTTTCATTTTTCGCGAACACTCCCTTTAAGTACAAATACAATGGTTAAAAATTGTCCTTTCATTCCTCCTTTGATTGGGTCTTTCAGTAAAAAAAAAACCTACCTCTGATAAATCCACTATTCTAGGAATAGCTTGAAAAAGATCAATAAGCTTGAGAAATCCATATTCAGATACTCTGCACTGGACACCAAAATGGTAATGGAAGGCGGGGATAAACTAGAAATAGTAATGTTTATGAATGAGAAGATGAATGTATCATATTATTCTTATTATGAAACAGAAGGGGAGGTTATATTTTTCTTCAAAACTCCTTTTCATTTTCTCCTTTCTCGAGTTTATTTAGTGATTATTTGGAAATGGAGGGGGGGGGGGGGGGGGGGGGGTGGAGAAGCTTTGGGAAGTTTGCACCGACTTGTGAAACTCTATGCTCCTTGTGGTTCAGAAACAAAAAAATGCCAGGAATTTTCTAATTTGTTGTTTTATTTCTTTTAAATAATACAAGGAAAAAAGAAAAAAATTACTATTAAGATTTGAAACATACTTATAATTTAAACTGATTTGTTTGGTCTGAATTAAAAAAGAATACGATTTTTCTGTGTTTATCATGTTTAAAGTTAAATTTATTTAACTTGTCTAGTTCAAAGAAAAACATCCCCCCCCCCTCTTCCAAAAAATGAAGTTATTTTTGCACGTGTTTAACTTGTGTTGAGTACAAGTTTTACCTAGCAAAGGTGAATACCATTACCACAATTTTAACTACTTACCTATAATTTTCAACTTTTCTAAGTTAAGTGCTTAAGTATTATGTGTAATGGTAAAATCATGAGCATCAAGTGGCAATTTTCCAAGTGGCAACTTCCCAAATGTGCAATTTTTCAAGAGGCAACTTCCCAAAGTTTAGGTTAGGCTCTCTGATGCGCAGCTGGCTGCAATGGGAGCCGAGTGCTGCGGCTAGAACATACTTGGGGCCGAGCGCTGCGGCTAGGATAGACCTGGGAAGTTGCCGCTTGGCAAATTGGACTATGGGAAGTCACCACTTGGGAAATTACCTTTGGAAAGTTGCAACTTGGTGAAACTCCCTTGGGAAAAAACCTAGTTCATTTTATTACCTTGTTAAAGTTAATAGTAATGTCCCGAGTATTATTACCTTGTTTAAGTTAATAGTACAGTCCTGAGTATTATTACCTTGTTTTTGTTACTAGTACAGTCCTGAGTATTATTACCATGTTTATGTTGATAGTACAGTCCTGAGTATTATTACCATGTTTATGTTAATAGTACAGTTCTGAGTATTATTACCTTGTTAATGTTAATAGTACAGTCCTGAGTACTATTACCTTGTTTGAGTTAATAGTACAGTCCTGAGTATTATTACCTTGTTTATGTTGATAGTACAGCCCTGAGTATTATTATTACCTTGTTTAAGTTAATAGTACAGTCCTGAGTATTATTACATTGTTTAAGTTAATAGTACAGTCCTGAGTACTATTACCTTGTTTGAGTTAATAGTACAGTCCTGAGTATTATTACCTTGTTTATATTAATAGTACAGTCCTGAGTATTCATACCTTCTTTAAGTTAATAGTACAGTCCTGAATATTATTACCATGTTTATGTTAATAGTACAATCCTGAGTATCAATACCTTGTTTGAGTTAATAGTACAGTCCTGAGTATTATTATCTGGTTTGTGTAAATAGTACAGTCCTGAGTATTTTTACCTTGTTTGAGTTAATAGTACAGGACCCTGAATATTATTACCTTGTTTAAGTTAATAGTACAGTCCTGAGTATTACTACTTTGCTGAAGTTAAAAGTACAGTCCTGAGTATTATTACCATGTTTATGTTCATAGTACAGTCCTGAGTACCAATACCTTGTTTGAGTTAATAGTACAGTCCTTAGTATTATTACCTTGTTTAAGCTAATATTACAGTCCTGAGTATTATTACCTTGTTTAAGTTAATATTACAGTTCTGAGTATTATTACCTTGTTTATGTTAATAGTACAGTCCTGAGTATTATTACCTTGTTTAAGTTAATAGTACAGTCCTGAGTATTATTACCTTGTTTAAGTTAATAGTACAGTCCTGAGTATTATTACCTTGTTTAAGTTAATAGTACAGTCC